AACAGCTTCCTAAGAAAAAGAATGTCTTGTCCAGCATGATAACTACTTAATATCTCGAGATCTGGCTTACAGCAAGGAGCATGTTAGCTGATTTTCCTTCGAGGGCACATTGCTGCCTAATTTCTTGTCTGCCTCTTTTTAACTGTATAGATGATATAGGCCACTGGATGCTCTCCCAATTTCCCTTGAATCTTTCAGTCGAACGCTGCTAATTCTCATTATCTTGGGCTCAATACTAGTTTTTCTCCACCTGCTCCTTGGCCTGCCCATATGGTACCACACAGGACTTGTTTGTCAGACACTTTACTGATCTGCCTTCGATTTTTTGCTGACTTTGCCCTGAAGCTGTTGGAATATTGCTCTGTGTTTTTCTTGGGACTTGATGAACTCAGTATTAAACATTTGTCCTCCCTCTCCAGCTCATCCTTACAGGTTGATGCTCAAGGTGCTTAGTTGCCTTTCTTCCATAGCGTGTGTTCCACCTCCCACCTCCATAAAACAGCAGGATTTATGTCAGCTCCATGCAAGTTTGTTGTCGACTTGCAGAAAGTCTAAAGGATTGCAAAGCAGTTCTAAAACCCCTCCACAGCAAAGCAACATAATTGAGGAAAGTGGTTAATATTTTGGCTCGGTTTTCTCCTGGTCTCTGTATGAGAGAGTTGTACAAAATCACAAGCTATAAATCCAAGCTGCACTTGACGATATAAACTTCAAGGCAGGAAACAAATTTGCAAACAAATACACATTTTGAGGTATCTTTCATAATGAAGACCCCACTGGTGCCTTCGGATAGAGGGCAATGCAGAGTGCTGAGCTCGTGAATGCAGCGCATGAACTTTGATGAAGCGACGCTCAGCAGAAGATACGGACTTTTTTTTTCATTTGGAGTGCTAGGAAGAACTGAATGTTCTTTGCCCCTCGTGTTGAATTGGATGTTTTTCTTTTGAAGCTTTTGCTTTCCTGGGTACCACTTCCTAGTGCAGGGAACTGCTGTTTGGGGGAAAAAAAAATCACGTAAACCAGTGTGTGCTTCATAATGCTCGTTAAAGGGTCTAAAGAGTGGGTAGGGGCACCAACGGGGTGGAAAATGGGCATGTTTTTTGCTGTTGTGATAATAATATTAAAGTAGTTGTTGATTTGTGAAATTCATGTACTTTGGTTTGAAATTATACAGTTGCCTGTATATTCTGAAAAGGAACCATAGGTCACCAGGTTCAGATCATTGATATATTAATGATTTCTCTCCAGCGGCTCAGCATGTTTTTTCTGGGAGACAGCAAAAGAAGCACTCGGGTTGCTATTTCAGCCATTGCACTGGGCTTAACATTGCTCTTTTTCAGTGCTGTGCATTCGATTTTCTTTTGGATTGAATTATTGTAAGGACAATTGTGTTACTAAACTATAAACAAACCCAAAGAACTTGAAAAGGAACTCGCTGATTAAAATGTGCTGCGAACTAATGAGTGAAGGTAGAGCGAGTACATTCATTTCTTCGCTTGCCTGGGAGTGACTGAAGTGGAGGAAACAAAATAGCTACAACATGTAAAACATTTCCAAGAAGATCTTGATTGAGAATAGGAAGGTATTGAGGCAAAAATAACAGCAGTGGTATCTCCCAAACAGTCGTTTTAGGACATTGTGTTCTCTTTTCTCCACTGTGTGCAAGTAAGTGAATGATGAAAGACTGGAAAAGAGAGTAATTCAGCTCGCTGAATTAAGAAAAGAGGGGAAACATGCTCTGGGGAGTGTCGGCTTCCCAAGAGAAAGTCGCTTTCCTCTCAGTTTTTTCTGTCCCTTCAGTGGAGAGGAGCAAGAGTGCAGCATATTAAATACTGAAAGAAGAGGCTTGCTTTCCTTGTGGATGTGCGAACAAAAAGGCAGCTATTGAGAATTCCATTAATCAGTAAAGGTGGTCTTTTTTCAAAGAAGATACTGTCAGTTTTAGTATGTATCCTGTTGTCTTTTGAATGGGCCGACATTTTAGAATTAACCATTTCTTGGTGCTTCTCAGCACGTTTCTGGGATTGGCAGAGGTTAGAGACTGCACACCTGGCCGAGGTGCACCCTGGCACACTTTGTGTTTTGTTTTCTTACATCTCAGAGCACAGAGTGACTGAAAAACAAGAAACCAAAGTAAATGCACCTCTATTTCTTAGGCTGGGAACACTTTTAGCAGAGGTACTTGTTGAAATCCCCTGTATCCCCATGCTATCCCCAAAATTGTGCCAATCGACTGTTTTGGCATAACATTGAACCAGGCTAGAGAGCTAATCCAATATAAAAATAGCCTATTTATGTAGCTCCTTAATCCATATCAGTTCTCTAATCTGGAGAATCACCATTTAGCCTTTTAAATGGGTGCCCCTAAGATCAAATTGCAATAATTTGAACAAATCATCTTACTTGTAAAAATTTGCAATGTGTGCTGGCATTGCAATCACAAGCAATCCTGTTGGTTTATTGTTAAGCTCATTGCAATTCTTTTTCAGCCAAAAATGTGAGAGGCTGGAAAGGGATGGTAGGATATGTTCCTCTGATTCTGTAGCAGGCTACATCAAATGGGAACTACTCTGCTTTTAAAAATAATAATATAAAAAATAACTCTGGGGGATTATGAAGTGCCTGCTTTAGACTTGAAGAAAATACTATGTTATTACCAAAATATCACTTGCGTTTTGAAGTTGAAATGTTTCATCTGCATTACATTTCCTACATCATGATATGCATCTTCAAATGCAATTATAAAGTAGTATTGCCATAGAACAACCTAAGAGTGATTGAATTTGATTGACTTAATCATCAGCCTTTCTTCTTCTAAAATTGAAGAATCATCTTCTGAAGGAAGGTGGCCAAATGTGCTTTCTTTCATTGGTCTTATGTACTGAATATGGATTCAAACTTTTCTGGAATGCTTTTTGCTTTCATTACGGATGTTCCTGGAGGCAGAGATATGAGAGGTGGATGTGGAGAGTGGATGGGAATATTTTTCCAATTCTCAAATTACAGAAGGAGCTGAAGTTGCCAGATCACTGTTTCAGTGTTATGAAACCTTGACTGGCCATATCTGAAAGGTGAAGCTCTAATTAGAGAACTGACATTCATTACTATTCACTCTACCCATATGTCTAGCAAGGGCACCATCAGTCCACCATGAGGTAGAAGTTTACATGTTTGTTAGCTGGCAAGATATATTTATCCAACTGTATTTACCTAGGTGATTGCAAATACAAATTAATTTAAAATATTGCATTAACATATTGCATTGCATCTATTTTGTTACCCCCAGCCTAGACGAGGGTGAGGAACAAGGCTCTGGGCTCCTCTGAGCACTGCAGCGGTCTCAGAGCTGGTGTGTGATTGAAAAAAGCAAAAAGGGAGAGAGAGAGAGAGAGAGGAGCTGAGCAGTTTTATTTCCAGCTTAACACTATCCGAAATGCTCGTGCTCTGCTCATCACGTGGTGATTCCCAAGAAATCTCCCTCCTGCACCAGATCTGCTGTCAGGTCTTTTGAAACTTGTTGCTGGAGCTTCTGTGAGCCTCCAAAACACGGCCTGGCAGGCAGGCCTACGCAGACCGCGTGGGGGCATGGTGGAAAAAGGTCACCCTTAGGAACAGCCTTCGAAATCTGCTGTTAAAAAATCACTGATGTTGACCTTTGATTTGTAGCCCAAGTGTAACTAACCAAAGCTCCATAGGGGCAGTAAGAGAAATTAGTCCTCAGAGTACATTTTCAGCAATTTAAATTACCTGAACATTTCTGTTTAGTACAGATGATTCCTGACCTCTCCATTTGTACTTCTGTGGATTTCAATCGTAATTTAATATGAATTGATTTCTGACCCGGAGAGCTAACGAGTCCCTTTTTCCCTGAGCTGCTCCAATTGGTTTTCCTGTACATCTTGTGCGAAGCCAAAGGGCTCAGGACTCATTATCCAGGGCAGAGGCAGTGCCTAAACAACGAGGTCAAAAACAAATCATTCACTGCCTTCCTGGTGATTTTGAATCACCTAAAATAGTTCACGTATTGGAATAGATGTTCTAAATCATCAGAAACGATGTCATCCTACGTGATGAATTTAGTATTCTCCAGATTTGGTACTCCAGCAAGTATGACCTTGTTCCCGAGCAGAGGCTACGTGGCCTGATGCCGAGTGCTTGCTCCCTATTAACCCTCATTCCTGTTCTGCTCAGCAGCTGCAGGAACTGTGTCTCCGAGAGGAGAAGCAGTTAGAAATTGTTGGCTAATGTCGGATTTATTTAAAAAAAAAATTATCTGAGCAGAGCAGTTGAGAATAAAAGCCAGAGTCTCTCTAGCAACTTTTTTTTTTTTTTTTTTAGATTAAGTGGCATTGATTTTTGTTCTGCATTACATTTTTGGAAATGACAGTGCGTGGTCATGTCTGGCACTGTCCAAGCAAGTGCTTCGGAAGCTGCTTCCTTAGTGGTGCATCTTTCTCCTCCTCCTATCCATATGTCCTGTTTTATGGAAAGTTGCTCTGTCTGTAAGATGATATACACGATAGTAAGGTCTGGTGTGGCTCAACGCTTGTGAATAAGAACCTGCTTTTCCAAGCAGGAAAAGACTTCAAGTTCTATTTTATATGTGTGTATATATATATGTAGTCTCACCTGCAATACATATATATATATATATTCTTAAACAAGCTGCATTCTCAGTGTTTTGTAGCAAAACACTGTTAATTCCTTTTGATTACCAGGTAGTACGAAATGTGTTGATGGAAGGTTTTCCACACAATTGCAATCATCGTTTTGCAAGTTAAATTTTAGTTGCAAAAGATACAATGAAATTCTCATTTCTCCAATAAATAATCCCTGTTTCTGTATTGATAACATGTTATTTTTATACTTAATTTTAATAGGATTGCGAAGCATGTTCTGATGGTTTTCACAGTACGGATGCCTTGATTCACTATACATAAGCACCAGAAATGTCCCTGCCACCCCAGTGTAACTTGTTTTCTCATTTTCATTGTTTCCAGGTTTATTCCAATTTACAGGGGCCCGAGTCATACGTACAAGATACAAAGGCTGACAGAATCCACTTGTTACTCGTTTCGAATACAGGCCGTCAGTGATGCTGGGGAAGGGCCTTTCTCAGAAGTTTGCACCTTCTGCACTACTAAGTCAGTCCCACCTGCAATCAAAGGTAGGGAGTTGGGTTTTTTGTTTGTTTTTTGCACGTGTTACATATGTAAGAATGATGTCATTATTTCAGTAATTATTAAGTACGTATTATGCTTATAAGGGCATACCTACGTATAGAATAATGTGCATACGAAACTGGTGCTGTGAGTAGTGAAACTGCATTATGGTGGAGAGCTAAATTATCACTGAAGAAAATCTCAGATGAACAATGTACATCATGTAACAAACCACTCCTGTTCTACAGGAGGTGTTAAAATTACTGCCGCTAACAGTAATTCCCAGGGGATTGCTCTGTTACTATGGATTAGTGAAACACTTAATAAGGGGTATAAGTGCTACAGGGCTGTATATGTGTACATATCAACTTAAACACTAGGAAAGCTGGATTTTGCTTGTAATGTGTAGATAATGTTCAACTTTTTGTTCAAGTTTTTTGTTTCTTTGGGATATAGAATAATTGATACTTCATACACATGAAACAGTAGATATCCCATTTTATTTTGTTTTCCACTGGAATTAAAAGACCTAATTAAAATGGAGTTTTATCAAGAAACTTCTTTTAGTTTTTATAAAGTCTGCCCTAAGAATGGGCAGAGTTTTTGTCCTTTGACAAAACATTATCAGGAAGGCAGCAGATTTGCTGAATTGGCTGTCAGATAAGAAGAGCTAAGATCAGGTAGCACCCTGATCCGTTTCCCTGCTCTATCCTCATTTGTCAAACAGTACCAGGCACTGTGGGAAATAGCAACTGTTCAAGTTTGTCAGAGTTTTCATCATGATTTTGGTGCTTGTGGCACCATTCGTGACAGGAGGATTTAGGAAGGGGAAAATACTGCCAGGTTTGCCTGGCCTTGAAGTTAGCTGCTCTGAGATGTTCTCAGGAACATCTGGCTTGTCCCGGGTGCAGAGGGAACACAGTTAAATCCTGTTTAGCACCCTCCTTGCTCCATGGATTTTGCCTGGAGGGTTGGCATTTGCTCCAGTGCTGCCCTGGCCTCACTGCTTCTCTTACCTGCACCAAGTGGGCAAGGCCAGCACAGGGATGCCAGCGCACGCTGTACTTGCATCCCTGTTTTTTGGGGGAGGAAAACCACCTTCAGTGTGGTCACATCTCATTTAGGTGTTTGCTTTGTTTTGGACTCCCTTCCTGCTCACGCTTTTAGTGCCTGTTAGATGTGACTCATGCTCTGGACTAAATAGCAAGCAGTAAGATACAGTGTGTCATGTAAGATACCCTGTGTTGTGTGTGGGATGGGGCCATGGGTACATGACAGACCCATGGCTACAAGAGAGAAAAAAAAAACACCACAAAATCTGTATTAGCGATCACTGCCATGAGAAAGCGATGCCGTGGGGAGGAGAT